ATAATGTGTCCACATAAGCACTCAGGGCAGCTCCCAATCAGGTCGTTGTTGTAGTAGTAATAATAATAATAATAATAATAATAAATTGCCAGAAGCAAGTGCAGATTACTGGCATTGTTCCCTTGGGGGAAGGAAATACGTGCAAATTTCCTTTATAAATATATATATTTGTACAGGTATACACATCTTATATAGAGGAGCTTTTAAACTATTGGTAGGGGGAAATGCCCAGAATAATACAACATGGAGATAGGACAGAAAGGAGATTGGCTTAGCTCAGCAAAAGGAGGGTGTAGATGGGGAGGGTTATAATCAGAACAGAGGATGTATGTAATAGTAATAAAAAAAAAATCACATAAAGTACAAGAGACTCATGATAATATTAAATATATGCTTATTAATTCAAGGAGCCAAAATAACAAAATGGGGGAAGTAGAGGCAATAGCATACACTAAGCAATTTGACAAAATAGACAAAAACGGAAACATAGTGGGATGAGACGCATGATGGGCCGTTAACTTAAATGGCTACACACTATGTAAGAAGGAACTGGTGATCACACTATAATGTCTTTTGAAATAAACTCAAAAAAGCACATGGGGTATACTATAAAATATAATTTTTAAAAAGGCCAATTCTATTAAGATAAGGACACCTTTACAACTCATTGACTGGCAAACTCTTTAGTGAAATAAACACTGAGGATAAATTGAATATCTATAAACAAATATTATACATGTACACTTCTCAGTAAAAACCATTAGGTAATAAATATAAAAACAAAACACATTGAAACCCTTGTGCCTTAGTGAGAAGGTAAATCAATAAAATAAAATTGTGAAAAGAGCATTTGAAGCATTTAAATCGGACAAATCATGGCACACTATATAAGGTATAAAGAAACCAATAATGCATGTAATATCAGTTACCGTATATACTCGAGTATAAGCCGAGTTTTTCAGCACACTTTTTGTGCTGAAAAACCCCAACTCGGCTTATACTCGAGTCAGTCTGTATTATGGCAATTTACATTGCCATAATACAGACTGGGGGCTGGCAGAGCTGTTACTTACCTTCCTGCAGCTCCTGTCAGCTCCCTCCTCCTCCGCGCCGGTCCGTGCAGCACCTCAGTCAGCTCCCAGTGTAAATCTCGCGAGAGCCGCGGGGTCATAGTGCGGCTCTCGCGAGACTTACAGTGTGAGCTGACAGAGGAGCTGCACGGACCGGCGCGGAGGAGGAGAGAGCTGACAGGAGCTGCAGGAGAGGTAAGTAACAGCTCTGCCAGCCCCCCTCCTCCCCCCACTGAACTGCCACTGGACCAGCAGGGAAGGAGAGCCCCCCTCCCTGCCATGTATCAAGCAGGGAGGGGGGACGAAAAATAAATAAATTAATAATAAATAATAAAAAATAATAATAAACAAAATAATAATATAACAAAAAAATTTAAATAATATCAATTAATAATATATAAATAATAATAAAAAAATAATATAACCAAAAAAATTATTTTTTTTTATAAAAATGCCCACCCCCCACCAAAGCTCTGCAACACAAACACACACTGCATCACACACACACACACACTGCACTCATACACACACACTGCATCACACACACTGCATTCATACACACACACATTGCACTCACACACACACACAGCACGCATACACACATGCACTGCACTTATACACACATACACTGCATTCATACACACACACTGCACTCATACACACACACTGCATTCATACACACACTGCACTCATACACACATACACTGCATTCATACACACATACACTGCATTCATACACACACACTGCATTCATACACACACACTGCACTCATACACACACTGCATTTACACACACTGCGCACTCATACACACACTGAGCACTCATACACACACTGCACTCATACCCACACTGCACTCATACACACACACTGCACTCACACACACTGCACTCACACACACTGCACTCATACACACATTGCATCACACACACTGCACTCTTACACACATACACTGCATTCATACACACACACTGCACTCATACACACACACTGCACTCATACACACATACACTGCATTCATACACACACACTGCACTCATACACACACACTGCATTCATACACACATACACTGCATTCATACACACACACTGCATTCATACACACACACTGCACTCATACACACACACTGCACTCATACACACACACTGCGCACTCATATACACACTGCATTTATACACACACTGCGCACTCATACACACACACTGCATTCATCATATACACACACTGTAAATAAATATTCAATTAATATAATATTTTTAGGATCTAATTTTATTTAGAAATTTACCAGTAGCTGCTGCATTTCCCACCCTAGTCTTATACTCGAGTCAATAAGTTTTCCCAGTTTTTTGGGGTAAAATTAGGGGCCTCGGCTTATATTCGGGTCGGCTTATACTCGAGTATATACGGTATATTCTGAGCTGCATTGTATGTCCTAGGAAGGATTCAGAGAATTAGGGCAAAATTAAACACGTGTTTACAGGCACTAGATCTGGTGGTGTAAATTTTTGTAAACACTTTATCTTTGTGCTGTGGTCTTTTAAGAAATCTGACAGCTCCAGATTGTGATACACACTGTCATGCAGTGATATCTGCTTGGCCAATCTGCATAGCTCTTTGTTGTCATAGTAGACATGCACAAACGGGGAAGGGAACTGCAACAAATATTATAGCTGTAAATTGTGTTAAAACCCATAGTTCCTGTAAAATAAAGTCAGTTTCTCTAGCTTACATCAAGAAAAAGCTGGCTTGTCTCTTTCTTTGGTCTGCTATATATGATTGCTTATAGGAGAATAACTAGCAGTTTTTAGTTAGAATATCCTGCAATATATGGAGCAATATATCCTTGCCAATAGGTATGCTACCAAAGCTGAGTCCTAGCAGTTAGTGGTGCAGGTTTGATAAAAGAAACCCACAGACGATAGCGTGCCTGAACTGGTACACATTTAGTGCCAGAGACATCAGGGGCGTATCGTCACATGCATCATTTAAAAAAATAAATAAATAAAAATGAAAGTATAGGTACACTAAAATTAAAGATGGGTGTGTTAGTTAATGAAAACCAGGAAAAGGTAGACATTTTAAATAGCTATTTTCCTCAGTATATGTTAAAGATGAACCTATACCTAGAGATAGACAAATGATTACTGCAGAAAACAGTAAGAAAATCGTAATTGGATGACTCAAGACAAGGTGCTATAGCAACTAAAGAAAGTTAATGTAAACTAAGCCCCAGGACCTGATGGTATTCACCCACAAGTACTTAAGGAGTTAAGATGGAAATAAGTAAACCTCTGTTTTTAATCTTTGAGGATTCTTTTCTTTCAGGAATTGTACTGGAAGCTTAGAGGATGGCATATGAGGTTCCTATATTCAAAAAGGGTTCAAAATCTTTGCCTGGAAATTATAAACCTGTGAGCTTAACTTCTGAGGCTGGGAAAGTGTTTGAAGGGTTATATTGGGATCATTTTTAGGAATTTAGGACACACAGATCCACAGGCATAATGATATTCAGGATTGCCAGATTGAGAATTACTTTTTATATTTAGTCCTAGGGGTTTAGTGTGGTACAGGAACATTGATGCTGGTTCAAAGTGGGGTGGTGTGTCTTAAAACGTCTCCAACATACTGTGAATCCTTTTACTATGTGGTTTGATTTATCTACTAGATGTGGAGGAGTGTGCCCACCTCCAGCAAAGTCCTGAGTTTTTGGGATTTATAGTCTGTAAGTACGGTGCCAGCAAGTACAGAGCTTGTACGTTGTCTCCTGAGGCCTGCTGGAGACTGATCAGTGGTGGGTTAAATAACAAATATTCTCCCATTCCTTGTCACTGATGGGCCTGCCTAGGGAAGCTTGCCATTGTCAAATAAATGTAGGCGTATCATTTGAGGTTTGGAGCTTACATCTCTTGTCTCGTTTCATTTGTCTTGTATTCTCAGTTCATGTACAGTCCTATCCTGCCCTGCCCTGTCCATGTCCTGTTCATGTTTCCCTCATGTTTTGTATACATGTTCTGGGTTCTGCTTTCTGTCCTGCTCCGGTTCTGGGTTCTTCTAGTTTTGTCTTGTTTTCTTGTTTGGTGCCTGTTCTAGTATCACCTTGATTCTAGTGCTGGATACTTATCTGCTTAATGTGAGCTCCTGGCTTCTGCTAAGCTGCATCATGGCCCTGGTATGTGGCAACACCAACCCTGGTGCTTAACACCTGGGCCTGATAGTCCATTTCCACGCTGAGACTCCAATCATCATCAGGCATACAGGGGTCCCTGCCTTTAGACTGCCACCCGTGACAAGTTTGAAGGGTGTGTAACGGATCGCCTGGCACCCCGACTGGGTACCTCCGTTGAAGGATACTCCTAGCGCTTCCTGAGGACTCCAAGCACTCTGGCAGACACTACAATCACCGAACCGGAGAAACAAATAAATTCTCCCAAGCATATGAATGCTGTAGACAGTTGAATAGGAACCATACGAATAGGTTTACTCTCCTAGCAGTCAAACTGGAACAGCATACAATAAATCCTTCCCCCAATAATGAGACGACACTTCACTTTGAGGGTTAAAACAGGAACTCCTGTACTGTCACATACAGTCTCTTTTATTCCCAATCCACAAACATAGTACAGCCCACAGGGCGTTACAAAACAACCAATCAATCCGTACAATACACCCAGACACTCCCACACAAAATCCTCCCCTCTGCCTGTGATATGATTACTGAACACAATGGGTAATCTCATTATCACCGGCAGAGGAATACAGTTTTTACACAATATTTATAACTTCTAAAATATACATGTCACAAACATAAAACATACATTTTCAAATCAATCCATTCAGGGGAACAACATATTAAAAAATGGCACGAATCAGACCAGGGGTTCAAAAGTTAAGGGAAAGTCCTTTGTGACTAAATGAAGCATGGCTTTCCGGCCCAAACCAGTTTCAGAGTCTTCTATCCTGGAGATTGAATTGAGAAGTAATTCAATTATCTCCCAGGACAGACACAAGACTCCATTATGCACATGGTGAGCACAAAGCATTAAAATATTATAAAATACACAAAGTCACATTTTATACATAAAACACAGACATGTCACATATCCCCAGATAGCTGGGATCTGAGCGCACAAAACTACCGAATAGCGCTCAGATCCTATTCACACAGTTCAATTGCCATGGAGCCGAAGTCTTTAACTACACAAATGGGCTCCATGGTATAGCTATCTGGGTTAACACGTTCACATAAAGTCTGGTCCATAGTCCAAAGGCAAGAGGCGGGCAAGCAGCCCCCTCCAAGGACACGTGGCGAGGCCGGTTTCGCCACATTTCTCCCCTTTACCATGCAGACTAACAGGGTATCTGACCTCCTGCCGGTCAGTGCCCTGGTTAGTCCAGCAACCCACCCACGAAGCACAAACAGCAATACAGCCCACCCACAATAACTGGTTACTACACCTGGATAAAATAGCAACTTGTCCATGTCCAGGTGCCTCACCACGGCTGTGCGGGGGGCTGGTAGACTGCCTTGGTGGGTTGCTGAGTGGGCAGAGACCAGCGGTACTCTGCCCGGGTGCCAGCACTACCACTGAAGTAGCCTGGTTGGAGCCTGGTTGTGGGAGGGGGAGACCGACTGTCTCCCCTCTGGATACACTGCTCTGTGGCTGGGGAACAGGACCGACTGTCCCTACCCCTGGTGCTGCAAGTGCAGAGACTACGGTCCCATCGGCATAGTTGTGGGGCTTAACATCTCCCCTTGGTGGGTTAGGCTGCCGCTGGAGAGAGGGTGTAACAAGCTCCTCTCTCTGAATTGTAGACTGCCGCTGGGGAGAGGGGGTAACCTGCTCCTCTCCCTGACACTCTCTTTGCTGGTGGAGAGGGGGACCAACTGTCTCCCCTTTCAATATTTTGTCCTGCTGCTGGGGAGAAAGACAGACTGTCTCTGCTTGCTGCAGGACACACTGCCGCTGGGGAGGAAGGACTGCACCTTCCGTTCCCTGGGAAACATACTGCCGCTGGGGAGGAAGGACCGCACCTTCAGCTCCCTGGGACTCACACTGCCGCTGGGGAGGAAGGACAGCACCTTTGGCTCCCTGGAACTCACACTGTTGCTGGGGAGGAAGGACAGCACCTTCGGCTCCCTGGAACTCACACTGCCGCTGGGGAGGAAGGACGACCCCTTCGGCTCCCTGGGACTCACACTGCCGCTGGGGAGGAAGGACAGCACCTTCAGTTCCCTGTGATACATACTGCCGCTGGAGATCTGAGCCGACCGCCCAGCATCCCTGTAGGGCCGGTAGAGAGACCGCCGTCCCATCTCCACCTGCCATCTGTGGGTCTTCCCAGGACCAGTCTGTGAGGTCCCTCAACATTTGCGAGTAAGGACCACCTGCTTCCGCACCTGGCAACTCCGGCTGCTGCTGGGGATCCGGTCCCATCTCCACCTGCCTGTTGTGGTTCCTCACAGGACCAGTCTATGAGGACCCCTACTTCGGGTTCCTGCGGCCGCCTCAGGGGGAGACGGCTAGCCTCCTCGGATGCAGCCTCTACTCGGCATTTTAGACTCTTTCGCCAGCCGGAATTCTCGGGCCAGCCTTGTGTTTCGCTCGGCCGTGGCCTGGTTCCAGATCACCCGGCGTACCTCCATGGGTAAATCATCCCCATACTGGGCCACTCGCTGCCTCACCTCGGCCATCCAATCATCGCCAGAGCCTTCCATACTTGTCTGCTCAAAGTCGCTGGATACCTCTGCTCCCAGGGGCGCTGCACATGTGCTAGCATTGCCCTCAATTTGTAACTCCACAAACGGTGTCTCTGAGCTGCTTTACCTCGCACTAGGACGCCATCCCACCGCTTGCCACCAATGTAACGGATCGCCTGGCACCCCGACTGGGTACCTCCGTTGAAGTATACTCCTAGCGCTTCCTGAGGACTCCAAGCACTCTGGCAGACACCACAATCACCGAACCGGAGAAACAAATAAATTCTCCCAAGCATATGAATGCTGTAGACAGGTGAATAGGAACCATAAGAATAGGTTTACTCTCCTAGCAGTCAAACTGGAACAGCATACAATAAATCCTTCCCCCAATAATGAGACGACACTTCACTTTGAGGGTTAAAACAGGGACTCCTGTACTGTCACATACAGTCTCTTTTATTCCCAATCCACAAACATAGTACAGCCCACAGTGCGTTACAAAACAACCAATCAATCCGTACAATACACCCAGACACTCCCACACAAAATCCTCCCCTCTGCATGTGATATGATTACTGAACACAATGGGTAATCTCATTATCACCGGCAGAGGAATACAGTTTTTACACAATATTTATAACTTCTAAAATATACATGTCACAAACATAAAACATACATTTTCATAATCAATCCATTCAGGGGAACAACATATTAAAAAATGGCACGAATCAGACCAGGGGTTCAAAAGTTAAGGGAAAGTCCTTTGTGACTAAATGAAGCATGGCTTTCCGGCCCAAACCAGTTTCAGAGTCTTCTATCCTGGAGATTGAATTGAGAAGTAATTCAATTATCTCCCAGGACAGACACAAGACTTCATTATGCACATGGTGAGCACAAAGCATTAAAATATTATAAAATACACAAAGTCACATTTTATACATAAAACACAGACATGTTACATATACCCAGATAGCTCGTGTAGTTAAAGACTTCGGCTCCATGGCAATTGAACTGTGTGAATAGGATCTGAGCGCTATTCGGTAGTTTTGTGCGCTCAGATCCTATTCACACAGTTCAATTGCCATGGAGCCGAAGTCTTTAACTACACGAATGGGCTCCATGGCATAGCTATCTGGGTTAACACATTCACATAAAGTCTGGTCCATAGTCCAAAGGCAAGAGGCGGGCAAGCAGCCCCCTCCAAGGACACGTGGCGAGGCCGGTTTCGCCACAAGGTGTGAGCTCTCTCGTGAGTGCCTGTCTTTAAGGGAGTGTTTGTATGTAGTTCTGTGGTAACATATTCTTGATCCAAGGAGAAATCTGATTGACATTCTAGGGTCAAGAAGGATTTTTTTCTTAGTTTATTGCAAAATTGGAAAGCATTGCCTTCTTTTGGATCAACATCAAAAACAGACGTGAGAAAGGCTGAACTTGTTGGACACATGTAACTATATTATTTTACATTTCTTGGCTTATTTACTGAAACACACTCGTATTAACAGCCTGCACCATATGCTTATATTTTTATTTAATTGTTATATATATATATATATTTAAAAAAATGCAATCAATTTTCAGGATAAAAATTCTGTAGAACTTGATTTTTATCTTTCTTTTTTAGTACCATAACAAAACTTAGTTAGTACGTGTCAGGGTTTCTTTGCTGTTTTAAACAGCCACCCTTCCTTTTTCAGTGTCTGAGGTTTCAGCTGTAATTAACGATCAGCTCCTTCAGCATGTTGCCACGGTTACTCACCTGAGAATAGTAATCAACCCTGCTGCTAATCAGTTCAGCCTATTTAAGCAGCAAATTCCAGAACCTCCTTGCCCTTGCGTGGTTTCCTGTCCCCCAGAAGTCTCCTTGTTCCTGTGTTTCCTGTTTGCTCCTGGTTCCTGACTCTGGCCTTGTTCCTGACTCCGCTGCCCTCCGTGCTCCTGATACTGGCTCGTCTGACTACCCGCTCTGGTGACTGACCCCTGCTTGCCTCCTGGACTTTGCTTTTGGTGATTTCTTTGTTATTTATTAAATAAAGGTGTTTTTGCATCTAGATCTGTTTCTGTCTCGTTCCTGGTTCCTGACATTACGCAAGGGCCATGAATACAGATGGTACAGGCAATACACCTATACCTAACCTATTTACCCGGTGGGACCAGCAGAACCACCATTTGGACCAGTATGTCCATCTGAATCCAAAACCCGGCCAGCCTGCGATTGCGGCCGCCTCTGCCTCACTTCCTGTTCTGGTACTGGTTGTAGCCTCCGAACCTGTTGCAGCTAGAGGAATGACTGGGTCTGTCCCGCTCCCTCAGTATTTTGGGGGCAACCCAGCTCAGTGCAAAGAATTTATAAATCAGGTTAAAATACACCTTGAAATGCTGCCCCAGGCATTTCCTACAGACAGCGACAAAGTCCAGTTCATGATTTCTATGCTGTCTGAAAAAGCCCTAGCTTGGGCAAAACCTCTCTGGGAGGCAGAGAGGCCCATCATTTACAATTACCCTGAATTTGTTGCGTCCTTTAAAAGGGTTTTTGATATTCCAGCTCACTCCACTCCTACTGCCAAACAACTCATGTCTAATACTCAGGGCACGAAAACTATTGTTGAGTATGCCAGTGAATTCCGTACCATGGCAGCAGAGGGTGGCTGGAATAACGAGATTCTCGTGGCTGCCTTTGCACAGGGGCTCTCCGATGTAATGAAAAATGAGATTGCAGCCAGAGAATTACCTAAAGATCTCGAGGAACTGATATCATTTGTCACCCTCATTGACATCAGACTCCGAGAGAGATCCTCATCCAGGGAGCGCCTGCGGAGGCCTCCAGTATGTTTGGCACCAAGCTTTTCCTGCCCACCCAAACCTCCCTCACCTCCCATGCCTCCTGGTCCTGAGTCCTCTGTCGGTGTGGAGCCGAGGCGGTTAGGCTTCTCACGCCTCTCTGTTGAGGAGAGAGCCTTTAGGAGGAGGGAGAGCCTGTGCCTATACTGCGGACACCACGGTCACATATTAAAGTTTTGCCCGATTCGTCCGGTAAAGGGCCCGCACCCAAGATACTGTCAGGGGCAGATCTTGGGGGGTCTTTCTGCAGACCCAGAGATAACTAAGGACAAACCCTTGGTGCCTATTATCCTCTCCTGGCCGGAGTCATCCATTAAAACCCGGGCATTTCTTGATTCTGGGGCCGCAGGCTTGTTTATAGATTGTGCATTTGCATCAGAGCACTCTATACCTTTACAGCCTCGCAACTCCCCACTAGCTTTCGAAGCCATCGATGGCCGACCTATACAGCCAACCCTCGTGACCCAGGAAACCGTGCCCATATCTCTGGCTGTAGGGGCTCTACATCATGAGATGATCCAATTCCAGGTCATTTCCTCTCCATACTACCAGGTTGTTTTGGGATACCCTTGGCTACAGAAGCATAACCCCACAATTGATTGGCGCAAATCTGAGATATTATCTTGGTCCCAGCAATGCACATTTTCCTGTCTCCGGAAACCGGTCAAAGTTTTGGGCACAGTTTCTGCCTCTTCCTTAC